CTATACATATATATGTGTAAATTATGAAAGTAAATTACTAACTTATTTGTAATAGCCCTTTACATTTTTTTCTTTATACACTGGTTATCATAAATTAAGGAAAAATCACGATTACTGAAAAAGTTACATCTAGAATTTTATGAAAATTATGCACAACATACAACACATAGTAAGGTATCAAATAATATAAAATGAAATTACCAGACAATTATGGTAGTACAGAAATTAGCATATGAATAAAATGAACAAATCGAAGATATCAGCTTGCTATAGTAAAAGTACCTTCAATACGGAATATAATCGCCTCTAGAAGCAATACAGCCCATTCAGCGATGTGTGATGCTTTCAATTATGCGTTCTATCAGTTCCATAGGAAGCGAGAGCCATTGCTCTTGCAAAGCAGTTGCAAGCAGGGCAAAGGTCTAAGGGGCAGATTGAGAGCAACTAAACGTCTCCCTAAAGCATCCCAAACATGCTCGATAAGATTCAAGTCCGGGGATCGAGCTGGCCACTCCATGCGCATAATTGTTTCCTGTTGAAGATAATTATATACGATGCAGCCCTGTGTGGTCTTGCATTTGTCGTCCTGTAACAGGAAAGCATCACCTATTGCCCCGGCATATGGGCGCACATAATCATCAAGGATGTCATCTCTATAAACATGAGCATTCACGGTTCCCCTTGGAAAAACATAGAAGTCTGTGCGTCCACCCAAAGAGATGCCACCCCAAACACAGACACTGCCTCTTCCGTATGCATCTCTTGAACGGATGTTTGACAGATGATAACAGGTTCCAGGTTCTCTTCATATCAAATAAAGCCTACTATCGCGTTCTATACTAAACCTGGACTCATCCGTAAAGAGAATAGCCCTCCTTTGCTCAGGCGTCCAGTGGACATGTTGTTGTGCCCACTGCAAACGGACCCTCCTATGGCGTGACTTGAGCAGCACGCAAATGGTTGTTCGCCTCGCATACAGACCACCTTCGTGAAGCCTTCCATGCACAGTTGATGTTGACACTAACTTTCCGGTGGCTGCAGCAAGGGAGGATCTAAGAAGAGTCGGAGTAGCGGTTCTATTCCTGAGTGCACATAATGTCAAATATCGGCGCTCGTCGTAGCAGTTGGCCGTCCTTGGCTGAATCTCCTAGGTGCCGAATCTGTGATTTGAAATTGCCTCCAAAGTCTATGAACCACAAAAGGACTCACATTCAGCCGTCTGGCCACTTTGTTCTGCCCAGGGATAAATAGAAAGGGCTAGCTTATTTCTTTGTTCGACTCCTCGCCGACGCGAGCCTAATGGGGAAAATTAACAGGCAGTAATCTGACGTCACTCTGATGCCACCTGTTCTGATTTCCCGCGTTTAAAACTGTAGTTTCATTCAGCTGCGAGACGATTTTCTAGAGGTTACATATCCCAAATTAATTTTAATCATATATATATATATATATCTGTTTTCTAATAATGTATAGATTTAAAATAATTTATATATATGTAATTTTAGTCAGTTTTTATTTTAAATTCTATATTGTAAAGTGCCATTTACGTAATATGACTTTTTGCGCTGTAGTAACTTGCCGTAGTACTTACAGAAGTACGAAAGGATGAGATATTTTATTTCATGGGACCAAAGGATCCAAATGAGGTTTTGCTTTTGACGAAAGAATGGATACACAAATGTCAAAGACAAGATTCTATTAATGCGAAGAGCGGAAAAATCTGCAGCGAACATTTTCTATGCAGTGTTTATGAAGATGATATGAAAAATCGCTTGTTTGGATAGCCACAAAAAAAACTGTTGAAATGGAATGCTGTGCCGAAAGTAAATTATGATGACAATAATAAATTGAAATTGATGATGAATAGTAAATCAAATTTTAATGATTTTGAAATAAAACTCACAAACTCACAAAAGTATTGAAAAATAGAGAAAAGAAAAATTTTAGAATGTTTGTTCAGCGGCAAAGAAGGTGGACGACATCTAGACAGAAATTGGTATCAGAAATTAAAATCTCAAATAACGAAATTTGGGGGGGGGGGCACAAATCGGAGAATTTGAAAAAATGTCTAAAGCCTACTTTTATAAAGACGCAGATTAATGCATTACTGAAAAAGAAGGAAAATATCAGGTGGACTAGTGAAGATATTTTCACGTTGCATTGTCATAAGAGCTCTGTCATCTTAAAGCTATGATTTTTGGAAAGAAAAAAAAATTAAGAAAAAACTGGAATATCTTTACCTAGTATTAGCAAATTAAAGAAATGGTGCGCTAAATTTTAGTGTAGTCCAAGAATTCAAAATAATGTTCTTACTCTAAAAAGGAAAGAGCGCATATTTGTATTCTGTAGAAAAAATATGCGTTCTCAGTTTTCGACGAAATGCATATAGATTGAAAAACTCTGCTATGACTATAAACTGGACCAAGTTCTCGGTTCTTTTCAAAATGTGCAGTTTGTTTTAATCAGAGGTCTCATTCGCTTTCGCGCTCTGCCTCAAATTACTGAGAAACCACGTTTTAGATAAAGGATTTGTTTTAGAAGATGGAACTGTTTTTAAATTTTGTTATTATTAAAGAGGTTTTTAAATAGAGATTGAGAAGAAATCAAATTATGTCACAAACTAAAACCGAATTATTTAATGGTCAAGGGAAACGAGAGACAAAAAGTCGCTCCAGAGAAAACGTTATTTTCAAAAAGTACCCCAAAAGGTATACTTCATCCCACAGGAAATTAAAAGCATCTGACCTTCTATGAGTTATCGATAATATCTCGGTATTATGAATAGTACCAACAAGAAAACAAGTATTTAACAAACTAATTTTGTTAAGTACTTGTTAAAGTTATTCTTATTGTATCCTTGTAACTAATTATTGATTATATTTGTGCTAAATTAGCATTCTAGATAAAATATAATAGTATAAAACATTAAAGTAATTGGCATAAAAAGACTGCTCTTTTACTTACACTTTGAAAAAAAAAACTGATTTAGGTACACTGAGTAAGCTATTTTGTCAAAATTAAGGTACAATCTTACATACATTTATTTAATTGTAATATAGATATAATAAATTACAAATTATTTAAAAAAATTATTATATTGAATCGGAAGAGAAATATAACAATGTAAAATTTACAATTAGGCAAAAAATCAAACGTAGGTAGCAGAAATGTTGCCATATATGTCATATATGTTTAAAACTATGTCAATGTAAATTGCTTTTTCAGTAAATTAAATTTAATAGCTGCTATTATAGTTATTTTAGAAGCAGTATAAAAATTCTCTCAGTTTCACATGCAGATAAAGAAATGATTAGAAATAAACTTCATTAAATAAAAACCTGTAATAAAAATTGAAAAAAAAAACAAAAAAAAAAAAAAAAAAAAAAAAAAAAAAAAAACCCACGGAACTTTATGTTAAAGGTAGCACATTTTATCTATTATTTTAAAATTGAGTAAGTATTATTAATTTTTTTAATGGTTCAGTCTAAAATGCATAAAGCAGTAACATTGTCTCTTCCAAATTATAGCTGTCTTTCACACACAGCTTTATTTACATTTCAAACGCTGGTTCAAAATCGCTAATTTTCAAGCTGTGAATTGCATCTGCGCGCACAGTGTCATCATGACTAAGTCATCACTTCTCACTTTCTGCTTCAGGGGGAAAAGCTCTATGAGCTAGCCCTTCTCTTCTAAGTCCTGGTTCTGCCGCTAGTCTCCCAATGGCTTTCTAACGTAGTTCTGCAGGCAAATGATGCTTGGAGATCATTGTTACGAATTGGTTATCTCAGATTTCAAACTTCACTGTTGCCAAAGCACTAAAATGTTTTCAGAACTTGATTTGTGATTAGGAAATAAAGTAGTAAACATATACGCTGAAATCTTTTACAGTAACTATTTCTAAAAGGGATTATTTTATACAGGAATATTAGGTATATGCTATTATTGCAACCACCTTAGTAGAAATTGCCAAAGTTTCAGAATATGATCAATACTCATTATATCTAATGATCATACATGCCTTTAAGGCAGTGTTTCCCAAAATGTTTAGCTTCCCAATCCATGTGCATGGTGTGGCCTTTAATGAAACACATGCATATAGTTACTCTGAAAGAAAAACAAAAAAATTCAGAGAAAATAATGTAACAATAAATTAACATGTCTAATTATAACAGTTGATAATAAAATAATATTCAGAATTAAAGGCAAAGCCGGATTTAGAGTTGATAAGGCCCTAAGCTCTTCAAGATATGGGGCCCTTTATAGATCTGTTATATTTTATTTTAACACTATATTTTAATTTTTAGGTGGGCCTAAGCTATAGCTTGTGTAGCTTAATGTAAATCCTGCACTGATTACAGGTAAATATATATAACTATAAAATAAAGAAATAGAGTACCTCACTTCATAACAAATGCTTTTGGAAATTACTTTTCCAAGATGATCATTAAAGAAATGAACGTTTTACTAGCATATATGATCTAAAATTTAACAGAATATATTGCATTATTCCTTGACATGATAATATTAATTCAATGTTCAATATAAGTTTTGAATACCACCCGAAAATGCATCATTTTCCACACCACCTTAGAGGTATGATGCTAGGTGCGTTACCCTTTTCTGGGCGGGTTCTCCGGTAGACCTATTTCCCTTTCATCTTTTGGTAAATAAGCTAATGCTTTATTGCATATTTTGAAAATGTTGAACAATTATTGGCAATATGTGGTCAAAATATGAAACATGTAGGATAGATATCATATTTTTTATGAAATCAATATCTTTCTCTACAATTATTTTTATAAAACTGTTATCAAAAGATGAGAATTTAATAAAATCGCATATGTTTATACCAGTTAAGTACATGCCAAACTGCACTTGGCCATAAAATTTGTGTTTTTTCTTTAGTGCATATTTTGATTTATCAACTGTTAAATACGAGTAATTCAGATCACGAATGATTTCTAAAGCAGGTTTTTTTTGGCTTCCTTGAATGGGACATTTTATCTCAAGTATCTAACATCTCCATTTTTGCAGAAAATTATTCCATCAGGGCTATAACCAAAAAAAGGAGCTTCTGGGTGTACAATTAGTCCACATTTACTTACTGAATCACCACAGCTTTTTATGTATGCATTTCTTGCTGCATCTTCAAATTTCAAACCATAAAAAGTAGCCAGGTTGCCTCTAAAATCAGAATTAAGGAGCCTATTTATTTTGGTACTCCAGTCAGGACTTTTGTTTTTAGAGTATGTAAATATTTCATAATATACACTACTTGTTATTCTTTTCTGCTTTTCACAAAGCCATGACTTTGAATCTTGATTAATTGTAGATAATGCCAAATTTTTTGCTTCATCTTTAGTAACCTGAAATTATAAAATTATTTAGTTTAAAATTCTGAAAAGAAATGTAATGCACGAACTACAAAAATATCAAGCTATATGCTTTTATATCTACGGTTTATTCAATGATAATTTTTTTTAAAAATATATAAAATGTACCATATGATAACATTGTTTTAAAAGTATTGACGGTACTACGTATTATCGAACCAGGTTGGTGCTATTTGTAACGGGTACATTTATTAATTACGATAATTTTTAATACAGTTTTTTATATTATTTTGTTTTAAAATATAAATAGCAATAAACCTTTCCGGTTTCGAATTTGATAAGTTGAACCCTACTTACGGCTTTAGACCCTACTTACGGCAAACCCTACGGTTATACGTAGTTTTGTAAAAAGAGCATGTGGAGATTCACAAAATTTCCTGCATTTTCGTGCAAATTTTTGTAATAATTATTTTATGAGAAATAGCAGTGTACATAGATAAAGTCAAGTGTGTGCGCAACGCCATTTTTGTGCAATTCTGGGATGTTTTTTTAAGTAAACATAAGTCGACGTGTACATGGTTATGGCGAATACGGTTTCAATCAGTGCTAAAAGCAATAGCCAAAGATTTCCGCCGAAAAAATAATTCTGCAACTTATTCAAATTCGAAACCGAAAGGGTTTAATAAGTTGCAGAATTATTTTTTCGGCGGAAATCTTTTGGCTATTGCTTTTAGCACTGATTGAAAACCGTATTCGCCATAGCCATGTACACGTCGACTTATTTTACTTAAAAAAACATCCCAGAATTGCACAAAAATGGCGTTGCGCACACTCTTGACTTTATCTATGTACACTGCTATTTTCTCAATTACAAAAATTTGCACGAAAATGCAGGAAAATTTTGTGAATCTCCACATGCTCTTTTTACAAAACTACGTATAACACGTAGGGTTGCCGTAAGTAGGGTCGCCAAATTTGGCAATTTATGCGAATTTTGGCCTAGTTGCGATAATACGTAAGTACCGTATTGACATTCCTTGTTATTAGATAAAGAGTAAAAATTCTCTTAGCTGGGAATATCAGCACTTTTGAAGATCTAAATTTAAATCCGAAAATTAGCTTTATGAGGTAAAGAAATTAATTGATGGAATAACAAGCTGGAGATTAACAAGTATGCACATGCTGCAGTTTCTACAGGAAAACATTTGTATTTCATTTCAGCCACCCAAAGTAATAAGCCTTATCCAAATAATGTATCAAGGAACTTTCTAGAATGTAAAAATTAAATAAATGAAATACCGATCCCTTTTTATGTTTCTGTGTTTGGTCTTATAAGTAAAACATGTTTGGTGCCCTTCGTGAATATCTTAGATTTAGTTACATATTTGGAGAAACTTAGTGAAGAGGAGGTGTAGGTTTGGCTTGATGTACAAAATTCTGTTTCCATCACGCTTGACATGTACACAACATGTAGAGTAAGTTACATGTAATGAAGATGACGAAGGATTTCAGGCTTTTATAAAGTTTGCTTAGAAATGCTTATCTATGTCAACACATGATGTTATAAAACTTCATCGAATACACAGCAAATTTTTTTAAAATTACGATGACTGTCTTATAAACACGCAGATATTTGAAATTATATGACATCATACCAAGAAATTCATAACTTTCATTTGATAATAAATATTATAAGTTTAAAATGTTGTTTCAATTTTTTTTAATATTAAATCATGTGTGTGTTTTAAGTAATCTGTACGAGTTTTGATTATTATTTATTTAATAGTGGCTGACATGACCACAATCAGAAACATGATAGACAGACTTCACATGCTGCAGTTTCTACAGGTTTGGTTTATTTAGTTACGGTAAAGCACACGAGGGCTATCTGCCTAGGGAAAGGGATGCCTTCGTGGAGGACTTTCTAAGGGAAACTGGCTCGCATACAGATTACACATGGGGAAAAACCACAAAAACACCTATGCAGAACACCCTGGAATCAAAGCCGGTCGGAACAACCAGGGTTCAGCAATTTTACCTCGCGGGTGCTGGTGGGCCTCTGTTTCTACAGATGGCATCATAAAGTAAGAACATGTAAGTTCTAGAAATATATATTCAATTATCTAAAAAAAAAAAAAAAAGCCTTATCCAGAATTACAAGAATTCTACTGTATCTGCTGAAAATAGATAAAACTGAAAACAGATATAGAATTTTTAATAGATTTTTTTATTATCATTTTATTGTCCTTATAGGAGACATTCAGTATTTATAGCACTGAGAAATTAGTGAAGAAAAATAAAAAATGTTTAAAGAAACATATTTATTGTATAAACTACTAAGCAAATTACTGTACTTACTTGTACATTTTCAGCAAAGAATTGTTGTGTTTCTGGCTGAAGATCGAACTTACACATCGGAATCAAATTCTTTTCAAAAACTTTAATTAATGTACCAACTAAATCTACGTTAGAGACATTGATATTGTTATCTGCATTCAAATTTGGCCTGTAAGAGAAAAAAAGTTAACAAATGAAACTGAACATTTCTTCATATCTTTGAACTATTTTGAGATGGAATCATTTCAGTTAATTAATAGGAGGTATTTTCTACATCTTATATTTCTACGTTTATATTAAAATTACATACTGTTAGACATATTTAAATACATTTTTTAAAACAAGTGATCTTTTGAAAATTTTTTGTTTTGGCTCTTGACTGCAGCACAACTTATGTAAAAAATGTGATTGTGTTTCACTTTTAATTTCAAATATAAAATGTGAAAAGTATTTAGAATAGTATCTTTAAAGAAAAAATTACGACATTTAAAATTAGGCCACACAGTTTTGTTACAGGAAATAGCATTAAATGTCCGAACTGTTTTTCTGTTATTTTTATCATAAAAACTAGTATATTGAGAGTGTTATTTATACATAATAAAATTTATGTAATCTTGTATTCTGAAAGTCTTTTATACTTATTTGATAAATGATTGTTATCATTAAAATAGTTGAACTTATTTCTAAATCATGTTCATATTCATTAGTGTTACAAATATATTTCTATCTGATATGCATCATACTTACATTTCTGTTAGTTCTTTCTTTTCGAGAAACCTTGCCCGATGTTTTGCATATGCAGAGTCTTTGAAGAATTCGCATATTTCTTCACGTACCTTTCTCTTTTTCACTTCACAGAAACTGTGCTCTGGAGGTGTTTTCACATGACAGAAATCCTGCACAGGAACAGGAGTATATAAATGCTTATACTTCCTAGTGTTCCAACTGCATTTCATATCTGTGGCAGATAAATCCTCCAGCTCATTAATATCGTTCCTGCACAAATTAAAGTATGTTGGTAAAATTATTTCCTCGATTTTAATTTTATAAAAACTGTCATGAACTATTTATTTCCATTAAAATATAATAGAAATATCTATCTTTCATTGGGGAAATTGCATAAAAATTAATTCTTTAAATAAAATATAAAATTTTAAATTTTAGGAGGAAAAGTAAATTAATACAGAAAGAAATTTAAAATTTTACGAGAAAGACAACATGCAGTAATTTTAGACCTAAATTTTTTATTTTCCCACACGAGTTATTCGGGAAAGGCATCTATTGCTGCTACTGACTTTCAATTTTATACAGATAATATATCGAGAAATGATATAAAAATCAATTTTATTATGCATGTATTATGCATGCACGTATGTACAAATATTTATCTACATTTCTGAAACTGGTCAGAAATATACATACATATGTACCTACATTTCTGAATCCGGTCCTAATAGCAGAAAAGTACAAATATCTTTGACCACTTTGTTATTGGATTTATGTCAAATTATCCATTTTGATGACAAATTTTATAATATATAAAATCACAGCATGTAAAAAATACATATTTTAATTAGTTAAAATATCTAATCAATGCAAATACTGATACTAGATAACATAAATTTTATATCAAGAACGGTTATTTGCTTGTTTAATGAATAGAAAAGCAATAGCTGAGTGAAAAACATAACACATTTGACTAATTCAAAATTATTAAATCTTACTTACTCATGGCAGAATAACATAACAGAAACACAATGTTTGCAAGATTCTCCTGCTCCAGCTTTGCAGCTACAATGAAAGGACTTAATTTTCCATCTGCTTTCATTTTCAATGAATACTCCATTAACCACGTGCGGCGGTGAAGAAGTCGAACTTGATTGAAGACATAATGCTTGTATCGCGATTTCTTCATCTTTCCGGGCCTTAATACCGCACATTATCAGTCGTTTCGAAGCCAAAATTGCTTCCCCTTCTTTTATACAATTACTCGAACTGGTACCTTGTATAAATTCCAAAATTGTTGAAATCTGCAGTTTTTTATTCATCGTAATACTAGAGCTTCTACAGCAGCTAACTCAGTAAAAAACAACTCAGACTTCAGGTCTATTAGCAGTTGCAGACGAATTTGAAACGCCCTCTATCGGTCATTACAATCGCCAATAGTCAATCTACAATAAACCGTTTTTGAACATCGCGGGCAAGAGGCAAACGTAATAAAATTAATCAAAAGGCATATTAAAACAAATCAAAACATTAAAAAATCATATTTACTGACACTGAATACCTATTTTTTACATACATGATCGGGAAATATAAATGAAACTACATTTTATTCAAATTACAGGTATTTTTATAACACTCTTTGTTATACTGCACTAAATAAACTGGAGGTACTGATAGTCAGTGAGGAGGAACTGATAATTATGTCTAAATAGTCAACCCTCTGAAGAAAAAGTAGCTAAGCGTAAGATTCTGTAGTTGTATTGTTTCTCATTTCAACCAACTGCAGAAGAAAAGCTTTTGTCAAAGAATTTCAGTCCTTTTACTCGTCTCTTGGTTTTGTGACTATACTGGACTCGGATATCTACCTGCTTAACAATATTCACGTCCGACAGATCGTGTTACTGATTGTGTAAGTGCAAAGCTTTTTGATATTTCCTGTTTATTTATTTGTTAATTTTGTTTTTATCGTTAATATTTTTGAAGGTCGGACATAATAACCTCCATAGTATTAAGCATTCACTGTATGTTCTCTTAAAGAGAGGAAAATTATTGAGAAAGAGGAAAATTATTGGCAACAACTGATACTGATTTTGAAGTCCGTTACAATTATGCGACTACAAACGCTGACGGTTTACGGAAGTTAGCGGGTCTCACGTGACTGGTGGCAACAATACGTCACAAACTATTTGTCTGGGTTACTATAATTGGCTGTTTTCCACTTTTTTATGTGAATTTCGAGAAGTTTAGTTTATAGAAAATCCTTAATATCATGATGTAAACAAACACCGATGGCAAAAAATTATTTGGTAACTACATCCATTACGTATTGATAAATGTTTCGACATGATTACATATAACTGCATTAATAACCAAATAAAACAAACTTAGATTACAAATGCGTTATGTAATGGAGCATGTAACTAAAACTTCAGAATTGTAGAATCCGGAAGATTTTTTTTTCCGAGTTAGAAGTATAACAAAATACGAGCAGTGTTCTAATAATTTTTAAATCTTCATATTCTTTAATATTACTGCTGTTTTTGATAACATGATCATAACATCATTTAAAATAAAATCTAATTTAAAATAAAATCTAGTAATTCTGCTGAATACTGCTTTTCATGAAAGCACGAGAATATTTTAATGGGATTATTAAAGTATCTGTAATAAAAAAAAAAAAAAAAAAAAGTAGGTTAGGAATAAACAGTAAGTAAAAGGAAGATTACTAATAATATATATTAACTATTGTATATATGTGTGTAATTTTGTGAATTGTGAAATAATGATATTTGTTCATTTTATAATTTAATAAATAAAAATTGTGAAAAAATTATATTTGTTCATTTTATAATTTAATAAATATTATGAAAAAGCTACGTACTTTTTAAAAAATCATTTGCACTTGTTTTTCATTATTGCATTTAAGTTTTATTCATTATTTGAATCAATATATATAAGAATATAAGAGAATCGTATACATTTTACAAGTACAAGTAAAATATTATACGCAGTATGAATGGAGATATGTTACTGTAAGATCCTAAAGTCTGGTAAATCCTAGGTTTTACCAGTAAAACCTAGCTTTTACCAAAGTAGCTTGTTAAAAGCTCGAAGTATGCTTTAATATGATTCCACTTCAGCCTTTGAGGTAAAACCGAGGAGTTACCAATGCCTTCTGGTAAAATCCTGAAACAAGGGATTTAAATCAACCTTGAATAAGCCTCCGCACACAAATTCCGTCATGACACTTTTCTGTTCCTGCCTCTCCTTATTTGCACCATTCGCAGTCTAACTTGGACATAATTTAAACAAGTGTAAGCAGCTACGATCTAAAAAAGAAGAAGTTTGGGCGCAAGTGCAGAATCGCCCACTTATCGATGTTCACATGGACAAAGTCAAGGGAGTGCGTAGTGCCAAGTTTGTGTAATTCTCTGATGTTATTTTAAGCAAAAATAGGTCGTTGTGTACATGGACACTGAGTTTGTGCAATTCTTAGACTTGTTATTTTCAAGTTGGCGATTTTGAGAAATGCGCTAAGCAGGGGTGATTCTGCACTTTCCCTGAAGTTTGTTTCCATTTTTACATACTTTGCTTTTTTTATTTTGCTGATGGGAAATGAGTGATGTTATGCGGAAAAAGATTATGACATTTTGTCTGAATTTGTAAAAAATAAGCCTGATAACTGCTTTTATTTAACAAGTGAGAAATATGTGATGGAGAAACAAACAGTTCATTACAGAAGGTTGAAACGCTGTCGTATTCTAATTGGAGGAAAGGACAAACTTATAATATCACTATTTGCAAAAATCCTATATTATGTTACAACTGATGAAGTCTTCAACACAGCACTCATATTGCAATTGGCCATGGTGAAAGAACTTGCATGATTAAAGAACTGAATCGTAAGTACAAGAATGTAACAGTAGAACCTATTTTCACATATTTAAGACTATGCGAACCATGTCAGAAGAAACAAAAAACTGTGAAAGATGGGATTGTAATTAAATCAGTTGTGCATAGTGAAATGAATTCTCGATGCCAAGTCAACCTAATAGATATGCAGTCCAATACTGATCATGATATGAAATTCATTTGAGTGCATCAAGATCATCTTACACAATTTGTCCTACTCCGAAGTTTACACAGTAAAAGAATTGTTGAAGTAGCATATCACTTTCTGGATATTTTCATAGCTTTTGGAGCCCTGAGCATTCTTCATTCTGATAATAGGAGGGAATTTTGCAACCAAATCAAATCATAAACAGTTTATGTGAAATGTGGAGTGATATAAAAATAGCTCACTGAAAACCGAGACACAGTCAGTCACAAAGTTCTGTCGAACGGGTGAACCAAGATGTTGAGAACATGTTGGAAACAAATAAGATAGGAAATTGGTCAGAAGGATTAAAATTTGTTCAAAAATAAAAAACAAAGCATATCAGGAGGGATTCAAATGTTCATCTTAATGAAGCTATCCTGTGATGTCCTGCAAAGTTGTCTTATGAAGCTAGGACTTGCTAACTCAGTTTTGCCACATAATTTGATTAGTAACATGACCACTGAACAGGATTTAGAAAAAAGTTATAAGTATGTATTACTAATGAATGTGTGGTTAATACAGAAAATGGGAAAACTAATCTCGAATCAACAGTTGATTTAGAATTGCAAGATAATAATAATGCATATGAAAAATAATCAGACATAACAATGGAAGCAGATACTAAAGTTTGAATTGAAATGAAAGAACCAGATATATGCTCTGACACAACGGGTGCAATTATCAAGAAAACTCAAAATGTGAAAGTGTTTCGAGAGACAGTTAAGGAAGGACTTCAGAAGCAGGCAAAGAAGATGAAGACTGTGTCTACTAAAAACTTTCCGAAACCTACATTTGGACAAATACTTTTGGAAAAATGTTAAAATAAAAGTACCTGATATTGATAGATCAAAAATGGATCCAAAATCAATAATAGCCGTTATTAGAGATATTTAAGATGATGAGTTTTTATGTTTTTGATAGTAAGTTCGGTAAATTAAAATCGTTGTAAACAGGAAACAGGAAAGCAGTTTATTTTTTGTAAAGAAAAATTTTTTGAACATTGAAGAAGTTGGTATAGAAGAAGTAAGTGTATGTGAAATAGTAAAAAAAAAAAAAAAAAAAAATTCTTTAGTTGGGGGGACAAGGACTTAGAAAATGCAGCTGTTAAAAAAAGTGTACTACGAACATCTGTTTGTGCAAATCAGCTGATCTACTTTGTAAATCCAAATGCCATAACAATCAAACTTGTTGTAACAGGTAATAAAATGTATTAAAGTAGTAGTACTAAAGAAAAACATGCTACAGTTTTCTTATTTTTTTAGTTACGTGCTTATTTAACTCTACCTTATATGTTGTGGTATTTCAATTCCTAGGTTTTTAATCTTTTTTTTTTTTTTTCCCCTCGTTTTCAATCTTAGAACTTTGTATTTATCAAGTAATAAAACAGAAGCTGCTTACAGTATCATCTGTATTCAGGCTTACAGTACTGGATATTAAGATCCTTCAAGATTCAGTGTTATTCAAGTTTGGCATGTTTGATAGTGAATACAAGTAAAATATGTTACGAATAAGAAATATTTGAATTTCAGTTATTATACTTGATACTCAAGTCATAAAAATGTTATTTATTCCTTGTTAGTTGAAATCATATTTTAGGATATTATGAGTTAAATTTCGTAAACTATATACTTAAAAAGAAAAACCTTTGAAAATTTGTCCTTAGGTGATAAAACAATATTAAAATATAGCATATAAGCATAAAATTAGAATTCAATAGCCAAGCCAGAATTTAAATTACTAAAGTTTAAAATGCTAAATTTAAATTACTAAAGTTTTTAAAATAGTGTGAAAAAAGTCTCATGTTATTTCGAGCTTCCCAATTATGTTTAAGTAGAGAATTCTTTGTTAGAGCAGGACAAAGAAGGAAGTGATCACTATCCATAAAGCCAGAATGGCAGAGATAATCAAGACTATTAAAAATTCCAGTCTTACTCATGTGGACAGCCCAGCAATGATATTCCACTGCTAATCAAAACACAACTATTGTATCTTCACAAGGGCACCAGTCTAGTAAATCATCAAAATCCTTGAGTTTTTCCCTCAATGTAAATTAAACAAAACCCTGCTGAATTTTAAGCTTCGTGGCTCAAAGTTTATCTGAGACATCTATGAAAGTCTAAGAATGTTGTTGAAACTTGAGTTGGAAATTTGTATCTCATGAGACATGCACAGTTGTCCAGTTCAGTATAAAAGTAACTCTTAGGGTTGTTTTTTTCAATGCCAGTCAAGGCGAAGAATCTGATTTTGCATTTGTTCCAATTTGTTCTTCAAATCCTCAAAGGCAGTTATTAATTGAGTGCTGGAATATTTCATAACAGTAAGTAGG